GGGGGGGGGGGGGGGTAGAGAGAGAAAAGAGGGCGTGGGGGTTACCAGTCGGCACCTTCGACCTGCGAACAGCCGTAGATATACAAGCAGTGCGAGTTTCCTCAACATATTCATTATTGTCGAGAGCGCGTGCACACCAGTACCTGGTGGCCGTGGTGAAGGTAAGAAACATGCCGTGCAGTTGACTCTGAGTTCTCCTAGACAAACTTCGTGAACAACAAGTTGCGGAGAAAGGCCACTATTTACTGGAAATAGCACCGCACCGTCTGTCGACGGCGGTTGCAAGCCCTACGATACCATCGAATCCAAGTATCGACGGAAGCGTCGTGAACTGCCGCATATCTACAACAGCTCCAACAGAGTTATTCCGGGCCTACCCTCTCCAATAAGGATCTCGCGCCTTAAAAAGAGGTCACGCCCGAAACCCAACCCACACGTGTGTTTCTCGATGTATGTAGCTTGTGGCTGGCGGTAGAGTAGGCAACGACGACAGGAGTTGCCATGCCTCTTCCGAGCGCACGAAGCCTTGGCCTCAGAAAGAGACGGCACCGTGGCCGTTCACCTGTGCATGCGAGACGACAAAAATCGCAGCACCAGCACGAACAGATGTCAGTCAGTTGTATCGTCGTTGTCGTTCCTGATGATCATGATGCATATGCAAACACAATATTCTGTCATAGAACATCTTGTGTCTCGAGTAGGCACAGTTGGAATTGCTTTAGTATTCCCATGTCGATGCTACACGACCAAGTTTACTCGATACAACTAGACTACTTCGTGCTATTCCCTCGATTTGTTCGAAGATAGTGGGTGTCTCTCGATGACAAAATACCACGTATACATACAGGTTGTCCATCAGAGCAACGGGGAGTCCTTCAAACACATATGTACATGCATGTACGTACATGGATATATATATATATATTTTTTTTTTATAAACTCTTGACCACATGCATACCGTACACGACAAGATCACACACCCCCTGGCCCGATTTTCAAAGCTAGATTTATCAACAGCAGCAAGAGTGGGGGTGCGGCGGCGTTGAAGTCTTCTGGTCGAGAGCTCTCTGAAAACGTACCGTTTCGTTAGTGCACCCTCTTGGTTGTGGAGTACTGTAACCGAGCTTTGAAAATGGGTCCAGGGGGTGTGTTGTCTGCCGGTAGACTACATAGACCAGTGAACCCTAGGTTAACTCTGGTTGAATTGTCACTCCCGCCAACCTCACTAGCTCCTTCTTTACCACTGCAGTCCCTCATTCATGCCCGTCATTTTTCGTTTCGGCTATAGATTTCACGTCCACCCCTAGACCATCGGAATAACAGGAAACACGGTCATCCGGTCCCACGCTACCATTTGTCAAACAATGGAAACGACGGGACGATGGCCAATGGCCTGTTTGTACACTCTGGGGCACACCTTACGGTCCGCGCGCCAGCCAGCGTGTGGACCGACAAGTATGCACCAGGGTGCACCAACAGGGCATAGCCCATCGTCCCGTGGTTTCCATTGGCAGCGTTACCCTGTAACCCTCGGGGGAGATATCATGGTGTGGTGCTCGGGAAACTGAGGAGAAACAGAATTTTCCCTGACGCTATGGATTCATTGCTAACCTATCTTCGACACTTTTCTTCGATAGAGATGGACTCGTTGGATCATCTTGATAATATCAAATAAATAAAAATACGAAAGAGAAAAAGGAAGAAAGATGAAAAGAAGGTAGGGCAGCTGGACCCGTACAACCGTTCGTTGTGTGCATACCATCGTCCACAGTAACTCAACTAGACTGCGTGTCTCCCAGGTGCGACGGGAACATCACACGAGTCGGGCGACAAACCGGTACTGTTACGGCGGTACCTTGGTATAGCGTTGCAATTTTGGCGGTACTGCAGTACGACGGTACTACTACGGCGGTACTGTAGTATGACGGTACTATTTTGGCGGTACTTCAGTACGGCGGTACTTGTGCGGCGGTACTGCAATATGGCGGCTCTTTGTAGGCGGCTCCCGGTACTTTGTTTTTTGGCGGTGCTTTTTAGGCGGGAACGCAATATGGCGGTACGTTTTAGGCGGTTCCCGGTACTTCGTTTTTCGGCGGTACCGCCTTCGGCGGTTCCCGATACCACCGAAAAGTGGCGGTAATTTCTGCCAGTAACGGGACCGCCCACCACGGCGGGAAAAAAACGCCGGGAATCTTCCCGAGGTCTACCTTGAAAATACCCCCCACAGAACCCCCTCTCCGCCCAGAGCATTTTTTTGGGGGCGGGGGCTTCTATTGCATAGTCTATTGGAACGGTCTGGTTTCATGTAGGATAAAGGATTTACTATGGCGTTCGGGGGCGGGGGGAGGAAGTCACTTCGTACTCCCCCCAAAAAAACCCTCCCGAAAAAGCAAGTTAGAAACTAGAGGTGCAAAAAAAAAACAACACCCTTGCCAGGGGCACAACGTTGTGCCCATTAGCAGCACAAGAATGGGCTGTCCATGGGCGGATTAAGAAAACCCAAAACTCCCGAAAGTGTGGAAATTTACTTGGGTGGGGCGCGGAGAGTGTATCCAGTCATTTTCAACCCGCCATTTCTTGCGGAAAAATATCTTGTACAGCAAACCAGCCGACAACAGGAAAAACAAGATGATGGTACAGTAGATCCAAAAGCTTATACGGATGGACATGTCATACCTTCGGATATATTCAACGTACTGTAGGCAGACCCCCTGTTACTGGAGGATAGGGATGGAGCGGCAAAAACGGAAGACTTTAATACCTATTGTAGAGTGTCCTTCCAGGAGTGAAAATTCGCACGATGGGATGGATGGGTACATAAAGCTGTCGTTGAAATTCGGTAGACTAGACTCAACGAACCCTGAGGGTTGTTTTCTGGTTTAACATTGCACTCTCGTCATCACTCGCTGACTCCTTCTTATCTCCTATGGTCTACGTAGTCCCTAATTCATACCCGTCATTTTTCGTTTTCGGTTTTCGTTTTCACGTATGGACTGGAAACACGGTCATCCGGTCCCACGCTGCCCAATGGAAACCACGGGACGATGGGTTGGTACACCCGGGGGCACAACTCACGGTCCGCGCAGCAGCCGTCATGGTGAAGAGGGGCGTGCGGATCGACAGGTATTCACCAGGGTGCACTCAACAGGGCAAAATGCCCACGGTTCCCACGGGTTCCATGGCAGCGTGGGACCGGATGGCCGTTTTGCCGGTGATGGCGATCTTGTGGGGGTGTACATCAAACCAAAATGAACGCGGTAATAAAAATGCCCAGAGGTACAACATTGTGCCCAATTAATTATAGCTCACGCATAGGCTGCCCATGAGCGCATTGAGAAGACCCCCGAAAGTGTGGAGAGTTGCTGGAGTGAGGCGCGCAAGTGTATATTTCCAACCCGCCATTTCTTGCGGAAAAATATCCCATCCAGCCAGCCAGCCAGCCGACAAGATATCATGCATTGACGGAAAACGAGATTATGGACAGAAAGTATTAGGAGTCTCAGGTGTGCCAGATCCAGAAGCTACCAACACAAACTACACATTAAGTGTGTAAGATAAAAGTAGGCTACGCTATTTCACTGGTCAGCGTTGACTATTATAGTCTAATTGTTTAACACGTGGCGCTGAAAGATGCACGCACGGGTCCGAATCCCGACTGCTCACTTTCCCAAGCACCATAAGGTTCTTTTCAGGCAGCGTCTGGCGAGGGGTCGTCCCCGGAGATATCTACTCACTCATTTATTACCCAAACGTCATCCAGTCGAGTGCAAACGAGCTCTGAGCATTATACCCAGATTAGTCAGCGCTGACTAGTCTAATGGTGTAGCTTTATTTTACAAAGAGTGCATTCAGATGGCGATGCCAGCGCACGTAGACAGACCTCCTGCTACTGGAGGATAGCAATCGAGGATAAGGATGGATCCATGATGGCCCAATCGTCGGGAAAGGGCGGCATCTGAAGCAGGGTGTTCCGTGCACTTGTGCACAGCGGCATCCGAAGCAACCCGAGTGCAGTACTGCTGTAAATAACCAGCAGAAGATCCTTGGCGGCACTCGGGAAGCTGCAAGTGGATTTCGGTTCCGGGCGCTTCGCAACAGAGCCAGCAGTGCAGATGTCTACAGCAATAGTAAACTGATGAAAACGGGGATATTGTTTACTGTAGTCTTTACACGACTGCTGTATCTGCTGTGGACATTCACCTCGCGACGTACCAAAGAAGATCTCACCTACGGGTTTGTGCCCCGGTCGTACTGCTCAGGATCGTGAAGGTTGTCCCGGCCAACGTAGTCTCGGCCGAGATTCCCCCACAGACTCGGATCCAGGTATGTCCATCGCCGGAGCGGCGAGCTTTCGGATGCCTGGCACCTCATGCAGGCGAGGCAGGCGAAGCGAGAACGGCACTGGGGGAGGGGAGATTCGATCCTACATGTTGGTCTTGTGCAGAAGTTGTTAGCCACAGCCCTCCTGTTCGGCTAGGGTCAGTCTAGAGAGCACAGCTTGGGTGTGCTCTATACATGTATGAGGTGTGCGCTAGCTGAGATGTGCTCCAGCTGGATGTAGTTGACCTTGTGAGTTCGTGGGAGGGGAGGAGGTCGACAGAGCCGACTAAATGACAGGGATTCCCCGAATGAAGTCCTGCATTCCGCGTCTGATTACGTCTGCTTCGACGGGTAATAGTCCACCTGGTGCACAGGTTCGGAGAGATTTGAGCGTTTTTTTCCCGTTCGATTGCTGCTGCGGCGGCGGACTCTCAGCAAATACTCAAACGACCAGATGCTTTACCCGATGTTCTATGCATAATCGTTGGAGCTCTCACGGATGCCGTTGCCATGGTGGCGATGTGCCTTTTGGTGAGTGCGATCCGCATGCATGCATGCGCTGTAGTGTACAGACCGTGCGTCGTGTAAGAGGAGACTTGTCCCTCCTTCGAAAACTTCCAGCGCGGATGGATCACGATGACACCAGCCTACAGCCTTCATGTAAGGTCGTCCGCCCACCAACAGCCCAGCAGGTGCCAACGTGCGAACCCGCCTGGGTCGGTCTCCAGCCAGGCTATAACCAACCCTGCTTAATTAACAGGATCCTGGGTATCGTTTGCTTCCGACAAAAACCCGGCCGAACTGAAGAATACCCTCGTTCTTGCCGTTGGAGAGAGTCCATATGGCATAGGATCTCAAACTCTCCGCGTGTGTGTGCGTGCGTGGTTCCACCTGCGGAAGGATGTGCATTTGCCGGGACGGTCACTCACAAGATCTCGCGCGTGGGGAAATCTGGGGCGGGGTACACAAAACAACATTCCACCGCGCGTCCGAGCTAGATGTATGTACATAGACAGTATCCCAGCGTCGGCTTCCAAGGAGCGAGTCAAGCAAGAAGACCCACGTGCAGAAGTTCTGCTTCGCTTCCGGAGAGGAAGCTGAACAAAGTTTCTTACCGTTGCCTATTGTGGGTGACATCTTTTGGCGGCCCAAGTGGAGGAAACATATATGCGATGCGTATACCAATGTCTTCGAGAATTTCGACTCTGGCTGGTATCGCCTACCGGGCACGTGCTTTCTTCGGCCCATGAGATAAAAATGTTGACCACAAGGAACCCGCGCTCGCTTGTCGCCTGCAGTTCCCTACCACGGTTGAACCTGCTGCCAGAGCGCGGTCTTACGCAAGAGCATGGTCTTGGGGGATCGGCGCGATCCTGCAGCATTTACGACACAGCCAAGAGGCGCCAGTATGCCACTCGGGGGAGCCTTCAATGAATTGTTCCGGCAATTGATGAGAAGCTCCTGATTTCACTCTGGGCCCGGACTCGGTCTGACACCCCAAACATTCGGAAAGACTGCGCAGATACCACAGAACCACCAGCCACGAAGATCGAGTTATTGTGCCCATGGATTTAGCAAACGCACAAACAATGTGTTCGTTTCAACCGTGGTCTTGCGAAAAGCGTATCTGGCGATGAGCGAGATATGCTCTGAGATCTGGCTGGTAAGGCGGACATTTGACCGGGAACACGACAACCGTTCTCGCAAATATCCGAGCTCCTGGCGAAGACGATGTCCGGCCCCACGCGCCCTGCCCTCTCCGTTCATTTCGACTTTTAATGCAACCGAACTCACCACCAAGCCCATCCATTGCCCACCCTCGCCCGTATTGTAACGCGTCGCCTCCATCGGAGCTCCCAGCAAAAACAACCCACCCCATACCCCTCTTCGAGAAAAACTCATTTCCCCACCGGTTTTGGGTTGTTCCAAACCCCACCCTTGCCCCATCCCCCCCCCGCATAAACCAACCTCGCGGCAAAACCGATAAACTGCCCATCCTCTCACGCGCACTCCATTCCCGTCGAAGTGGTGTGGTTGCACCAAACAATACGAAGTGCCATTACGACTGGTAGGGGCTGCAAATATTCATGTTATGCAAGGGAGTGAAAACATCTCACTTAACGCTCCGATTACGCACAAGCGGAGCACAGGAGTGCACGTGTTTCATCACATATCTTATCAAATGGGAGAGTAGAGTACTACCAACCACAGATTGGAGTGAAAATTCGTTCGAGTGCAAAGTCAGCAAGTCCATCTCACACGACACTTAGTAAAAACGAGTGAACGGAAAGCCCGTGGGACGAAAAGTGAAAAGATGTGAAAGCGATTCATAACAAGCGGTGTGTTCAGCGCGTACGAGAAGGAGTAAAAATGATCGCGAAACATGACCGCTAAGCAGCGGAGAGAAATGTGTGTGCTTTACCCCATTGGCCATAAACAATAAACATCTATAGCAGAAACGAGTGAACGGGAAAGCCCGTAGGATGACGAGTGGAAAGGAGTGAAAGCAATTCAAAACAAGTTGAGTTTGTAGGAAGAGGGGTAGAAGTGAGTGAGAAACGTGACCGCTAACCAGTGGAGAGAAAATGTGTGTGCTTTACCCCCCGCACCATAGACAACATATGGTGAGTACGGAATGTACCATGTGAGCTCGTGCAAGGAAAAACATGCCATTCGATCGCCTGCAAATGCATATTCAAGCACATTCAAACGACCCGGACAAAAAAGGATTCAAGGCACATACACCTGCCAACGGCATTCTGCAGTAGAGTCCATCACGTCGGAATTTCCACCATCAGCTGGAAAATCAAACGTTCTTTCCCGAGGCACTACTGTAACTTACCCTACGGTGACATGCGTCACGTCATTCCAGGTTGTGTTTCATGCAGGGTAGATAATTTTTTCCGGGATATTTTTGGTGTGTGTTGACCAACCACGATTCCGGCATGTGTTCGGAAGGTATTGTTAGGTGCATTGCGGATATCGGCATCATTACATGCTGATAAGCTCAACGGTTTGGGCTAACTAGGCCTGTGCTGTCTGCTTGAGCGTCAATCTGGGCCTTCTGGTCTGCTGTTTCGCCAAAGCGAGGTATTGAACGAGAAATCGCCCGCTAAAGTCACTTGTTCAATGTCGGGCGATCTTAGTTCGCTCAGTACCCACGCTTTGAATCAAGTTTTCTACCGGTGCCCGATACAGGGAGTTCGAAACTCTCACTTCCTTGTTGCAACTCGATTGTGCTCGCTTAAAAGTGTGCTGTAAGTGTAAATCGAAACAACTTTCGTGCTCGAAAATATACTCGAATGAAGAGGCCAAACACTCTTCGATATCCACACCATCGACGGAGTGTGATTTATCGTGCCGACACCATCACAACGCACTCAGATTGGAGCGAAAATGTTGGGGGGCCCGTGGTGGCAAACTTTCACGGACTCTGAAGGTATCAGGTCTGAATGAGTGGAGCCTCGTCGTTAATTTCCCTTGTAGGTGTACGCGGCATACCCCCTACCATACGTTGGCAATGTAGATAGGCCAATATCCAATATTCTATAACGTCGTTTGACGTTTCCCAGGCAGTTGTTCGAACTTGAGCTCGCTGCGTCCCCGACCTGAAGCTCGGTAAACGTGATTTTGTGCGGAAGAGTGCCACGCAAGCAAGAGTGAGTGAGACGGGCATGAGTTCGGCGGGACGGAATCGGTTCAGGTAGCCACGGACGTCAGATGGCATGGCGAGAGCAACGACGGGGAAGGGACTGGTTTGGTTAGGAGGCATCCCACGTGGTTCAGAAAGATTGAATGATGCTGGGGTTGAGAGGCAAAAGGAACCCGCCTTCAACAGGAAAGGCCTCCGCTGGATGAAGGGTGTTCTGGCGGGACAATGCCGCGCACGTGACCCGGGTGGCGAACAAGGCATGGCGTGGGTGGCCACGAATTGGCTTAGCCATTCAGACACGATGCCGTCGTGGGAGAAAGGTGGGCGAAGGAGTATTGGTTTGGAACAGGGCTTGCCACGCAGGCGAGAGGAAGTGAACAAGGCAGGGGGGGGGGGGGCTAGAGGGCATTGTGCCGAGGAACGCGGCTAGACGTTGGAGTGTATATCCGGTGAAGGGTCGGAGAAGGGATTGATTTAGCCAAAAGTGATGCGGCGCAGGAAAGAGGGAAAAAAACACGGCGTGGGTCGGGGGGCAAGCAATCAGAATCGGTTTAGCCGGGAGTCCCGGTGTCGCCTGATGTCATCGCGATGTAGAAGAATCGAGGAAGAGATTTTTTGGCGAAGAGGCCGGTGTCACACAGGCGAGCGTTAGTAAACAAGGCATGAGCTGGGCTTGACTCGCGAGGGTAGTCGGGCATTTCGGCTGCAAACGGTTTTGGTTGGCGAGGAGACGTTCCATACGGGTACGAACGAGTGAATTTGACGTTGTACGGAAGGCTAGCACTCGAGGAGTCAGGCGTGACAGGGGGCAATATGGTGGGATAAGCTTCAGGGAATATACTTGATCGGCGACTGAGGGGTACGGTGTGAGTGAACTCGAAGGAATGAATCGGTGTAGCAAGGGGGTCGGCCGGACACGGGAGTGAATGGTTGGAGGCCGGTCCGGGAATGAGTTGTTTCACCGATGAGGCATGCCATGTAGGTGCATGTGAGTGGGCGAGGGGTGGGTTGTGAGGCAAGGCCTCGTGTGTCCAGAGGGCCTCAGCTTCGAGTGACATTACATGGTGTAGCAGGATCGGGGAAAGGATTGGTGTGGTCAGGAGGGGTGCCACGAAGGTGAGATGGAGGGGACATGGTGCATGTTTAGAGGGAAAAAATTGGTGAACCCAGGAGCTCCCGTGGTCGTCTGACGGCATTTTGGGAGAATGGATGGGGGAGAATAGGGTGGACGATGAGCGACGCCACATAGGTGAGTGATAACGAGGTGTGGATTGCGGCGGGGGGGTAGCGAGGAGCTCTGCTGGTCGCCAGAGCGCGTGGACGGAGAAGGATTGGGTTGGCGACGGGTGATTCCACGCAGGTGAGGCTGGGTGAACAGGGCATGGATATTGAGACAAAGAATCGGCGTAAGGCAGGAGCTCGGTGGGCCACGAGATGGTATGACTGGCAGGAGAAGGAAAGTGGAAGGGGTATGTTTGGCGAGGAAGGATTCCATGCAGGTGGGAGTGAGTGAAAATGGCGTGGGCTGCGAGTCGAGGAATCTTCTCGAGAGAGGGACCTTCTGCTGCACGCGAGATATAATGGCGGGGAAAGTTTCTGGAAAGGGATTAAACTTACGAGGCGGAGGGCATTGGCAAGAGTGATTTCATCAACCATGTGGTCGGTTGGCAAGGAAACAGTGTTCCCACAAGCCCGGCTAGATGAGGGGTGCCCTAACGAGGAAATGGTACGGTGCGGAGTTGGCTTGGAGAAGGGGCGATTCCACGCATGGGAGAGTAAGGCACGGCCTCGGAGGCAAGGGATCAATATGGTCAGGCACTCAGCTGGACACGAGATGGTATACCGGGAGAGGATTCGAAAAACGTTTTCAAATAAAGAAGATAATATTTCTCGCGGATGAGATGTGAACAGGGCATAGGTTGGGCGGCAATGAACCATTTCAGCCATACCCTCGGCCAGACAGGAGATGTCATGGCGTGCGAAGGGTCGGAGATGGGGTGGGGGAGGCGGCGGAGCGATGCCATACCAGAAAGAGTGAGCGAACTAGGTATGGGTTAGGAAGTCCGCGGAAGGTGGTGAGATGGCGTGGATGAGGAGGGTAACACAAGAAGCCTTGAGGGCCGGAAGCGTTCGGTTCGGGAAATATCTGGGCCCGGCCAGGAAAACATTGATTTTCGCCGCGTTCCCCCCCCCGGTGTTTGCCATCGAGGTTCGGTTTTCGTCGCTTGGCAACGACGTTGTAAAACAAGCCGCCTCCACCCCCCCCGGTGTTTGCCATCGGGGTTGGGTTTTCGTCGCTTGGCAACGACGTTGTAAAACGAACCCCCCCCTCGGTGTTTGCCATCGGGATAGGGTTTTCGTCGCTTGGCAATTAAGTTGTAAAACAAGTCAATTCACTTCGTGAACTCGGCAACCAGGTTAACGTTTTTCTCGGCGGTAACCATAATGGTGGTCGAGCAGATCATGCTGTGCGGGGTGGAGAACCCTCACTCCGCGCAAGGGGGATGATCGCACCACGTTGTGTTAAAATGGTCAAGCATCCTCGAGGCAGTTACACAGTGCTTACAACTGTCTCTGGAAGTGAGGCACCAAAAACTACATTTAAGTCATACGCAGCTGTCGTCCGTATGCAAGGAAGTAAGCACAAGATGCCGAA